AAACTTCACAATTTTTAATACTGGGTCATTTTAACAATGAACCCCAAATTTGAAGAGGCACTCTTTTTGCTTGACAAGCAATATGACCAACCCTTATTTCAATTCTTAACTGATTTGGGAGTAGAAATCATCTGGTTCAACGGCCATTCATTGCAACATGGCATTCATTTTGTTACCAAATATGGATCCTTGTCTTAAAATACATATATCAAAATGCATTACTGTTTTTAAAATGTTAATGCCGCGATTATGATGGGGAAAATAGTTCATTTACAAGTAGACATAATGTACAGCGTTCTAGAGATATCTGCTCAAAGTTTGTGTCGCATGCCTTTGCTGAGCTCTCCACTGTTCGCTATAGTGTGTGGGATTCAGGTCTTTTCACAGCAGCTCTCCCATTATTCTGGCTAAGCCCGGTGACTCAGCTATGTCCTGCCCGTCTAAAACCTCATTGCACATGAATTCACCTGTCACTGCGGAGGCTGCACTACATTTCAGATCCCTTTTACTCAAACACCGAGCTCCAGTGTTTCCAAAAGCTTGACCCTGTTTCATATTTCAGGAAGCTCTAAGTCCTAAAATGCTCATTCAAATATTAAAGTCTCATTTTTGTTGGCAGAAATCGCTAAAATCATACAAAAGGCACCTTGACGTTGACATTTTATTTTTAAAGAACAATCTAATTACATTACAATGCTTTCTGGTCATTTATTGTACAAAAATGTTATGCTCCGTTCTGCCACAAGAGAGCAACATGAAGACACACAATAGCGGGAGGCAAATCATAACCTTGGTGAATTTGTCTTGGTGAAGCATCTTCTGTGTGTAGCGGATGACGTACACGTTATAGTTTTACACAGGCAGTCGCTTGATGAGAGCAACTGGAAGCGACGAATTCTTGATGGTGCGGATTAATGATGGTCTCTTTTGCTGAAATGAACCGTGTTCACATGAGTGGTGTTGTGGGTTCTTAAGGCTTTGCTGGACTTTGCAGCAAGATTTCACATTGGTCCTCATCCGCCTGGAGTCTCATCTCACACACAGTACTTCCAGAAACAAGCTGCAGACAAAAGAGGATTTGTGATCATTTGCGGCGCATGGCCTCAACCTGAAATGAAACCGAGAAGCATGCACACAAACGAATTAGAGAGATCATAAAGGTGACCTACGTTCACCCCTCTTCCTTGTTATTGGTTTGTCTACTAAATTGGCTGCGATTTCCTTCTCCAGTTCCAGATCGTCCCTCAGTGCCTCCAACTTAAAGAAGAGATGTTTATTAGACCGGTAACACTATTCGAATTGAAGGACTGCAGCACATTTAGCTTTGAATGTGTCTGGTCTAATTATGCTTGCTAATTAAATATGCATTTGGAAAAACCTTACCTCTTCCAAATCAGCTAATTTATCAACCAGTTCAAGACCTGTCAGTAGAAGAAAAAGTCTGATTAACATCCCGCTGTTTAATTTCCTCCGCTGATTGACGAATGTCTCACCTGGAGTGTCATTCTTTTCAAGAGGAACTAAGCTTTTATGCAGAAGCAGTGATAAAATTTTGCTCTGGATATCTATGCCGTCTTTTGGATTCAAAACCCGGTTATCTGCACAGATGAAAAAATAAAACAAGAAAAACATGGAAAGGGAATGAGCCAATCATCATCTGACTTATTGCATTTAAAGTTGGATTTCAAACTCCAGATATGGAAATTCAATTAACGTACCTGCATTAAATAAGTTCCTTCCTTGCACATCTATCACACCCTGCAGTAGTAACAAACCCAGGAGTCCCAAGATGTAGTTGACAACTCTCACCCTATCCATGACACTAAATGTATGGTCCCAGACGCGGTGCTGTATGAACTCCTCAAGCCGGCGATTCTCTTCCTTGGGTCCATCCCTTCAATATATGTATCGTTTCCGAGAAAGTAGGCGGAGCCAGTCAGCCACTTGCGTATTAAATCAATAACATGTCACTGTTTGTGTCGTCAGTAGTCAACCCTTTCACTGGCACGACATTGCAGCTTGACGGAAAAATGACGTTATAGGCAAGGCCAGTAAGTCTATATCACTGTGACACCAGCGAATCAAGCATAGAGAGGAAGTCATCAATCTGCTTGATAGTTATGAGAGAACTGAATCACATTTTTTGGCAACTGCGAGTCTTTTTCTTTTATATTAATTAATTCCTTAAGTAGCTTCATAGGATTGTGTCGGTACGAGGAGGCAGGTCTAAGTAAATTGATTCTTTCCCCAAGTCCATTACAGCAAGAGATGAGCTCTACAGTCTTGGCTGCAGGACTCATTTTGGAGGTGAGGGGGGCATTTATCACAGCAGCCGAGCCAACTAACCAGCACCTCACTATATCACTACACTTTGTGCGTCAATGAAGCACTGCCAAAGGAGCAGGTATCGTGCGGGCGTGGTGTTAAGGAAATGAGCTGGCAGGCATCGGATGAATTTGGCTGGTCAAGATATCATAAAAGTTCCTGCATGCCTTCACACTTCAGGCAAGGGACTGTTGACGTCTTGCATCTCCCGTCCAAGCACCATTTTTGCAAATCGATCACTTAAATTATTTGGCGACTGAATTTAAACGGAGCACAGGGGACGAGAGTCTGGGAATGAAGAGTGAAGTGACGTTGAGCTAAATTATCGGTCAGAGATGGCTCTCTGGGAATTGAATTTCCTAAGTTTGAGCCATAAAACAAAGTTTCAGTTGTCATGAACCAAAGACACTGTCGTCTGACCTATCCATTTTCTCTGAATTATCTAATTTGGAGTTTCAGGGGAGCTAATGCGGTATATATTCTAGAACACAGATGTCAAAGTCAAGGCCTGGGGGCCAGATATGGCCCCCCCACATCATTTTATGTGGCCCGCGGGAGCAAATCATGTGTGTCAACTATCATGATTCTTGCTGAAATCTGTACCGAAATGTCAAATTGTCATGGGTAATAAATAACGTTGAGATCTTGCACCGGCCCTCCAAGGGAAGCCGTAACTCCAAAGTGGCCTGCGACAAAAAATGAGTTTGACACCCCTGCTCTAGACTGATACATTTAAATACTGCTAGCATAGTCCTTTCGCGTGTCAGTCATTATGGTCATTGTTGAGATCGATGGTGGTCTTCAGAGGTGGTCTTAAGACCACTTTAACGAGTCTCGTTCTTACCTCAGATTTAGACATAGAGAAGTCAGGACTTGTTCTCAAGACCAAAACAAGGGCTGCTCTGGATATAATAAATATTCCAGTATTACCTAAATAGTAAATACTTTGATGCCAACCATAGATATTAACATGACCCTCGATCATAGACGTTTAAAAAATGGTTTGAGTAAGAGATGTTTTGTGTATTTTCCACAATTAACCGTTGCCAGGTTTCTTAATCACATGTTCAAATAGGATCAAGAATTCTAGATTAAATTTAAAGCATATTTTTTGCCATGGTGAAATTGGCTCATTTTGAGGCTGGATTTGTCTCAAAGCAGCTAACAACTTTGTGCTAAAAATAGTGCCATATCCCACAATCTCAAACAGTCGACCATAGTGGGAAGCAATTTCACCTTTTCATTGCGAACACCGGCACGCTGGTAAGCGTAAATTATCACAATTATTTTACACGACTAGAAGTTTTGATTTGACAATCTATAGAATCTATTGGAGAAGTGGCATGGTGGTTGTTCGCGACGTACACACACATGGACAATCCTGGAATTACTATGTCCTTCCTTGTGCCCATGATCAAAAGAGTGCTGAGTTAGTCCGGTGTCTTGCCGTCTTAATTTACGGGTGCAAACTCCACTCGAATTTTGAACATAACTCCACCCAAGTGCTGCCTAGGGGATGGTGAAGGTTTGAGAGGAAGCACAGATCCTCCCTCCAGCAGTTCAGCTCAGCGCGGATCTCTGGCTCGTTAAAAATACTCGGCACCGCGTTGGTTTTTAATGTCACCTGTGTGGCATGTCCCATCTCAAACTATGAACTACTCCTCATCCCTCGAATGATCACTGCACACACCTGCCTGTCTGCTTATCCTTGTGCACACCAGGGGACTGGCTGATGTAGCTTACTACTAGTATGTTACATCAAGTTACTGATTCTGAAGGCCCTGGTCAGATTACAGTGATTACATACCAGAACATATTATGAAATCGGGACAAAGAATAACCTCCACATGCAGGTAATGGAAGGAGTGCAGTTAAGAGAAAGGCTTCAAAATTAAGAAAATGGGAAGAACATTATACAAATACTAGAATAAATTGCTCTAATAATTACTGAGTGTCTTTAGTAGTGATAACAGTTCAGAGAAAACTGTGCAGCAATGCAGCCGCCATTCCGGTTTTAATCAAATGAATGAGCTCTGAAAAAGGTTGTAGTCATGTTGGCCTTGCACAATTATGTCAACATAAAAATAATTCCGACCACAGCATAATTAAAAATAGACACGATCTGGAGAAGTACCCCTAATGGTTTTTATTGATTGTCTTGTAAATGGCGCGCTCACGGCGAAGCATTATTACTATTACAACTGATGGGCTGTTGGACACTTTAAAGAAACGTAATGGCTGACACTAGAGGGAGTCGTGCTATTAGCATTGCGGTCCCTGATTCACCGAGCTGTCGTGGAGTGTAAAATTGTTCAGTGTTGTGTAAACACGAGCTTTTCACACTGTGAAAAGCTAGTGTGTCCGGTTGTATATATGTTTACATTCTCGATTCAGGCGCAAACACCAGTCCGTAAAATACTATTGATGTGGATCATATGGCTCGACCGGGAAGATGTGTTCCCTTCCAAACCGTGGTGCGTCTGCAGCTGCTGCAGGCAGTCAACTGAGAGTGTTTCGTCAAGTGAAAGAGTGTTTCGTCGATACGTAATGAGGGCTACGACGGAAGTAAAAACACTCCTCTTCAAAATAAAATAAAATAAAAAAATTAAAATAGATGTATTCACCTGCTGGTAAAATCTTTGTTTTACAATCACGTCGTAAGCAACGACGAGTTTAGAATTGATGTACTTTTAGAGGATTAGAAAGTCAAATCTTAACCAGTGTTTAATACGACAGAAAAAAACATCGTTACTTTATTTCGACATGTGAAACCAGAAACCGTGTTCAATTTAGGCGTGAGACAAGAACGAGATGCTTGTCAAACCGTGACACGCTAGCTGGGGCATGATTTGCTACCATTGAGAACGAGAGAGGAAAAAAAGTGAGAGAGCGAGAGGGTGGCCACCGAAACCAATCAGGGACCGTCCAGCACCAACCATCCGTCGCGTTTATGAGTAAAGGCGATCAATTAGCCGGTCGTCGGTTGACCGTTTGAAAAAAAAAAAACGCCAATTTACGCTCACATCGGCTCTCGATTGGGGACAACATGGCTGAGTGTAACGTTAGCATCGACCAGGACAAACTGCCTGGAGTGAAAGAGGGTAACGTCCATATAACACACTTTGTTTACTTGTCGCGTCTAAACATGGATAGACAGGTACCACAGCCGATGCTAATGCTAAAAGTTAGCAAACACAGGTGTTTCGTACTGCGGTAGTTTCTACGTGTAGCATATATAGCTAGCAGATGCTATCACGTCTGTCTTAAATCTGAGCTCTTTTGAGTCTTTTTGGATTATGGGAAGTACTTGTCAAGTAAGATGTATGGAAGGGTTAATGTTTTTGAGCTGTGGAAAAGAGTGTGTCAATTCTTAGTCGAATTGATTTACATGATGCCCTTCTTATCGGACTTTTTTTTAAAAGACGATCCCATTGATATAAGTATCATTTCTCCTCTGTCAAACGTTAAAGTTATGACTCTTTAAACCGGTGAAAATGCACCAATTTATGGCCAACGGGTGTCGAGATTTGAGGTCTGACTATTTGTGTTGAATACTAGTTTCACACTTTCTGAAACGTATTGATCTTTATTCGTTTTTCAGCTAGACTTGCATCATTGGAAAGCTTCTTAAACATAGAAACGGGCATATGTGATATAAGATGCACACTTGTAATTGATTAGTTCATTAATTCCAGTTACTACGTGAATCGAGAGGTAAATCTCAAGATAACAAAAGTCATAATTTGAAAACTACAGTGAATATTACATTGAACTTTAACACAGAAGTTGAAAGCCTCCTCTTAGTAAAGTATAATGTACAATGTAATGTGAATGTAGTAATGTACTGCAAATAAGGCAGAAATAATGTCCGTTATTGCTGTACATAATTTTTATAATGGGTGTCATGCCTCGAAAAAAAGTAAGCCTCAATAATGAGTAGCCACACCATAAATACTGAATTTATATAAGTACCAGTATATAATGTGTTATTGTTGGTTTAAGGTTTTATTGAAACAAAATGCTTTTCATTTGAAGTTAAGACAGTAGAAGAATTAAAGCTAAATCCTTTACCTCTGACAGTGTACTTGACAAACGGTTGTATTGCCTGGCGCCTTTCTAAGAGTTTTGAAAATGCAGCCCTGCCCACTGGCCTCATTCCTTGTCTCACCTGACTGCAAAGGTGATATACACTGGTGGGGTGTTGTGTCAGGATGGGAGGTAGTATGCTAATCTGGAATGTTGCGGATGTGTAAAGCGGCAGCTGCACACTTGGATGCTTGTTATTCTGGTCACTGAGACAAGCTTGGTTAGTCTGCAGAGGGACATTGACAAAATCAACAGGGAAAGGGATCTGTTTCGCTGTTAATGTGGTTTAGAAAGCTTCAGGACATCCACACAAATCTACAGTTGTCTTCTCTGATTTGTAATCCCTATGTTAAATGACAGAAGCAAGCCTATTTTATGCACTAGGCCAGGAACTCTTGCTCAACTAGAGATGTGCTCTTGGTTTACTCGGATTTATCAGCTAAATTGCAGAGTGGGTTTCCTGGTTAAGAAGATTAGGCATATGGTAGGAACATGTTAATGAAATCCCACCATGCTTGTTGAGTCACTAGGGGCTTTGGTTTTCCAGGCATCTGTTCAGTCTTCCACGAGAACTGTGGTGCAAATTTTGTTGTCGATATGTTGAATATGTCAGGGTTTCATTTCAAAAGACCACTGTTCTACTAGTACACCAATATGGCATCAATACTATTTTATTTTTCATTTTTCTGAGTAAAATAGAACCTCCAGGGTTGAACAAAATCAGCGATGTTCCTGTACCACTTAATTTTTTGCATTCCAAAACATTTTTTTCTAATATGAAATAATGAGAGAATAACTGCTACAATCATTGAACCAACCTCTCTGTGAGAAACGTGGGTTTCGGGCTAGATGGTTACGGAACATTAAAATGGTGCTGTCAAGGTGCACTTGAGCTCATACCCCCAGCTCACGATGTACAGTCCTGTTTGCATACCACTTTCATATGTGACATCGTTCCTTGCATGCCTGCATCTGTGTTGTATGATTCTGTATTGTGGTGAGCAACACAATGTACAGTCGTGTTGAAGGTGAATTTCCCCTTGAGGTATTATAGTCAGTCTGTCAAATAAATTGAAGTTAAAAAAAAGACTACACAGGGGTACTTGGTTTGCAATGGTCCAGACGTGCAGTTTCAAGGTTGCGAATGGTGTGCAATGAAATAGTTTGCCCAGCTGAGTCAGTATCACTGACTGCATGGATTTGACCATCTTAAATTTGGTGATGTCACACGTGATGAAGCTGGATGAAGGCATATTTTCCCTCCATATTTTTTTTTTTTACTTTTGTGGTACCACTATGTTTGTATGGCTCTATGCCATTAAACATCTTCGTTTTGCCTGCTCAACATAAACTATATTCATATCCTTGGAATAGCTTTGTCTGTGAGTGATATCAGAGTGGTGCTTTTTTTTTTTTTGAAAGACTGCTGAACTTGAGAACGCCATCCTTTTTTAAAGGCAAAACTCCTGTTGTAAACTGGGTGGATGTTTCCACAGTAAACACCACCAGTAAAAACACACATTTTGTAGCCTGACATGAAAACTGAGCTATTACTGTTTTTAGGTGCAACAGCGTTGTTCTAAGTGTATTTTTGTCAAAGAGAGAAGCCACAGAGAGGAAACCACACTGTTACTTTTTTAATCTTCAGATACAAATGGGTAAAAAGTTAGCTTGATAGTAGTTATTTTTTATAAATATGTAGCTTTCCTTCAGTGTGAATGAGCAAGTGTACAGATAATTTAAAAAAGGGATGCCCACTCTTTCTTCTACAGTAGACCTCCGCTATTCACAGAGAGGAGCAACTGGGCTGCCCTGTGAGGAGCAAAAATCAATTGAAATGCATTGGGGAGGGTATATTTTCAATCCCCCCAAATTCTTCAAAAAGACTTGAGCTGATAAACAGTCAATATGTTTTTCCATTAAAAATTGGGGGCAAATGGGAAAAAAACAAAAAGAAACATACTATATAAAACATTGAAAATGTTAGTCAGTAGTATCCAATTTCTAATGTTAGTAAGTATGACGAATACTGTCAGTTAAGTGGACAAATTGTCAATGTGAGTATAGCATGATTATTCTTGCGGAAATTATACCGTTTTGTAGGTACACTCGACCCTTGCATACTCACAGTTTGGCAACCAGGGATTTGCATATTCATGATTTTTTTAATGGCTGTCAATTATACGCAGATTTTCACTTTTCACACGCGATAGCAGCTGGGCTGGCCTGCGACTGACTGTATGCGAATGTAAACATTGGGTGGAGGTGGACAGAAGTTCACAGGAATGTACATCTGAAGAAGTCTTTTGACCAAACCCCGTGTGAAAATGCACATACCGTGAGACTTCCTGCAAAATCGTGAGGCTTAATGCAATACCGCAAGCTTTTCGACAGTCTTGCAGTAATTATCACGCCAGTGAATTTGAATTTAGTGGTTCTATTCTCTGTCCCTTTTATGTTTTAGTGTCCTGTTTTTTTAATGAAAGGCAAAAGAAAAGGAACAGAACAGCACACTTATCCGTCACCAACAGTGGCATTTGAACGTCATAAAATAATGTTGAGTGCCTGAAATAATGAACTTTACCATGGCTGACATCTATTATCGATTAGCAACACAGCTGTGCGGAGAACAGGAGCATATTATGGTATAACAATATTGTACATGCTTGTCTAACGTAATTTTTCTCCTAGTTTGCAGAGACTTTGCTGTGTTGGAAGACCACTGCCTTGCCTACAACCTCCAGGAACAAGAGAGTAAGCACCTTTTTTTTTTTTCCTCATTCTTTTTCCTGGTTGCCGATGAGAACAAAATTCCTGCACTCCCTGTCAGACACGTCGTCACTGGTGACTGTTTTTTACGAGCCGCACAGCAGCGATCCTGCGCTACCCTGTTTTTTCTTTGCAAAACAATGAGTGACTTACTACAAACAAAGCTTTTGCTCAAGATATCGTGTCAAGCCAAACCGGGTAAACTCAGTAAGCCTCGGTTGTTGTGGGAAGCCATGCAGTCAATTGTGCGAGTATTCAAGTTTGTGGGGATTGCGTTCTTTCATGACTGTTGTAGCTGAAAATGCAACTCCTTGAACCAAATATGTGTGTTCACCCATTTGAAAATAATGTCTGTACCCTGGCTTTAAACTGCAGGACCCAATTTGCCCATCATTCGTCATCCATCAGCCACCTGGGTACTCATCCGTCATTGTCAGTCCGTCATTTTTTTTTTTCCCAAACCAAACAAAACTGTCATTGTCAGTCGGTCAGTCTGTCATTTTATTCTCGCCGCACCTCCGTCATCGCTTCTGTTGGTAAATTTCACCAGTCTGACAGTCCGTCAGTTAATCCATCAGCCCCCCCACCACCCCAAAAAGAAAAATGGCATAGTCCAACACATGAAAAATCCAATGTGATTAAAATGGTAGATGGAGCTTACTATCTATCACATGCATCTACATCGTCGAGTGCCTGCCCAAACACACACATAACTGACATACATTTCATATACATTAACTTTCCTACTGAAGTACTATTGTGCAGCTATTTGTGTGTGGCCCCCCATCCTCCACTGATGATCAACCCTATTGAGAACCTATTGACGAATCCTGAATCAAAATGTCTTTGAGGGTAGGATGCTGTAGTAAAAGATCCATGAGGTTGGGAGGTAGTTGCACAACCAAACGGCAGATCTGGAGTCTATTCTGACATTCAAGCACAAGCTGTCCAAAACCCCACAAGTTCAATGGATACAAGAATTGTGAAATTGCTATTCAACAAAACCTATAGAAAGCATGGTTTAATAGTTTATCCTTGGCTTATATTGATGAAAGCATCTCACAGACATCTGAAGAAATCTGGGAAAAGATTTAAATTTTGAAAATTAAGGTGAGGGGCCCTTCCTCATTTAAAACTTTGGTTAGGGCCATGTTCACCTAACACTGTTGTAGATGTTAACATTCAGCCTCGACCAAACGAACCGTGCTATCAGAACAATCATATTCGAGTTTGTTCTCACCAAGCATGTGGGAACACAGCCGGAGTTAAAAAAAAATCCCTTGAAGCCAGAACGCCAAATGTCACGCAGCAGTTTTGTTTGAGCGTTGAAAAATTTTGCTTTGAGAATGGCCTGCCCTTGTTGCCATTAACCCATTTTAAGGTTCGTGATCTGTGACCAGGACTCATCTGAACCTTTCTGATCTTTTGAGCCTGAATCCATCACCTCACCTTTTGAACACACACGTTTCTTCCAACATGTCATGTCAACATAACAGAAATTCAACATAAGTCATTATTTTCAATGCAGTCATTTCATTGGAACCACTCATGTGTGTCTCTCTCTGTGCACATGTCCCTTTTGTCATTGGAAGGTGTCCTTGCTGTCAGCCATAACAATTCCAGTGTGCAGTCTCCCACACCGATACCTCACAGATTTGGGTAGTCGTCTTTTGAATGATGCAACACCCGATCAAGGACTTGGATTTGTTGTAGATATTGAGTAATAGACTCCTTGACTCCGTTTTCAAATATTTCATGTATCATGTGACATAAACAATTGATCATTGTCCGGAGGAAGTCGAAAAAAAATAAGACCAATATCTGATGGCTGTTTCCTCAATTTTCAACAGCAGTGACTCATCGTGCTCCTTGTTTAACCTCTGCAGCCCGCGAGCAGCAATGTTATGTAGCCTCGCACTAGTCAATTGCCAGACGTAATTTGAGCCTGTACACAAGAAAGCTGGCTTGAAGATTGATAGTCAGCCAAAACGGATCTCAATGAACGAGTGAGTGATGCTGTCCACGCTTACCGAGCGCCACTAGTGCGTCAGGCAGCAAGAGTGATCTTCATTTATCGCCACAAAGTGCATTCCGCTAACCTTGGAATGGCACTGTCACCACAAACATTCATTTCTCATTTGTCTTTTGAGTTCATCATCAGAGGATGACAAGTTCGCGTCCTTGCTGTTTGTCTTGTTTTTAACAGGCAATCCAAACAATACAACAACTTGGGAATCAGCAAATGTCATTTACCATTTGTTGTGTAAAGACGCTGCTTTTTCCCAGCAGAGTAGCGCAACCTGTTATTTGTGTTACAGTTGAGAGCCACTTGGCATCCAATGTCCACAAGAGCCGGCTGGTGCAGCAGGACCTGCAGGTGGCCAAGAAGCTACAGGAGGAGGAGGATGAGATCGCCAAGGTCGTGATCAAGAAGCAGCATGTTGCCATGTGGGTGTCTCATATGCACTGACACATTTGGCTTTTTTTATATGAAAACCAGGACCACCATTTACCAACCTGACATTCTTTGATAGCCTACATGCGTCGCTTGCAATGTGATAACGCTAACCTAGTTTTGGAAAACATATTTTAGCTTAATTATGACTAATACATCCAAATACATGCCGTTCATAACTTCAACAGTAGCATTTAATTAACCGTGCAGCCCTTGTAGTGTGTAACACAGGAAAATACAGAGGGACTTCGCAGTTCGATGCTGCATCAACTCTTTATCCCCCAGCAAATAACATCGAGGGGTTTAGTTTGTGTCAAGTCTAAAGTTTCACCCTCTTAAAAATTGACTAAATGCACATAAAATGCTTGAGTCACATTTTAAATCCTATGTGTCATACAAATCTAAACTGTACACCCGAGTATTATAAAAGTCATCAGTTTATAACGCCAGATATGAATTGAAGACACCTGCATGACATTCAGTAAAATAAGGCTGGAACCAGGAAGTTTGTTTTCACAGCACTACTGTCACCTTGTGCTGGTTTACAGGTATTGCTAGAAATATGTGTGAGTACTATATGTAACATGAGAACCAACTTGAGCTTTGTGGTTGTGTTGTGTAATTTTGACACATAATTGACGTTAAATTACAGTACCGGTAAGTTCACGTAGTTCTGTGGCTATCATGATGTTTCCTCCATCATTGGCACCCTTCTGGGGTGGCCTCGGAAAAACAAAAAACAAAATAAGAATCAGAGAGCTTTTCAAAAGCTAGAGGCTTAACTTACTGCCTTAAATTTGTTGGCTTTGCACATGATGATGGTTTGAACTCTTGTTTGACTCATTTAAGCAGTCAGTCAACAACACATTTGACTCACATGCTTGCTGCATGTGATGAGTGGGTGTGAAATGTGTGGCAGTCCATTGCGGGTTCCACTTGGTGTGTCTTCAGTTCAGATTTTTGCAGCAGTGCCCCACCTAGTGTTCCAATGTCAATACAGACACTTTGATGACCCAGTGTGACATTTGGCCTATTTCCATTTAGCACTGCTCCACCTAGTAGAAGTAAAAATCACTCTCTGTGCTGTGCATTTTAATGGGACGAAATGGCTGAGTCATAGTTCAGTGCTGTCACAAACAACACGTCCTCCCTCGTGAGTAGAAGAGAAGCATGACTGTCTGTCTAGTCCTTCTGGCCTCGTTGGTGCTGGGCTCTGGCACTGGGATAAGCGTTCAGTCTCAACAGGTACAATGTGCCTGCTGCTTCTGCCGAAAGCAGTAGCATGCATTTTATTGATCCCCAAAATATCCAGTTGCATTAATAACATTTGCAGTAGTCAAAAAGGTTGTTGAAGATAGATTTGTAAAAAACATGTTTTTTACGTGTGTGTGTATGTGTGTGTATATGTGTGTGTCTGTGTGTGTGTGTGATGCCACAATCCAAAGAAATTCAAGAAGAAATTAGAAAAAAAATTTTTGAAAACTATCAGTCTGGAAAAGGTTACGTCGCTATTTCCAAGACTCTAGGACTTCAGCAAATTACCGTCAGAGCCATTATCCACAAATGGTTAAAACTGGGAACAGTGACAAATATTCCCAGGAGTGGTCAACCAGCTACAATTACTCTGAGTGTGATGACGACTCAACCAGGAGGTTGCAAAAGTACCCAGAAGAATACCCAAAGAACTCGAGACCTCTCCGGCCTCAGTCAACACTAGTGGTCAGTGTTCATGACTCTACCATAAGAAAGACACTGGCCAAAAATGGCATCCACGGGAGAGTTCCCAGGTGAAAACCACCGCTGTTCAAAAAGAACACAAAGGCCCATATCACATTTGCCAAAAGACATCTTGATGATCCTCAAGACTTTTAGAAAAACATTCTGTGGACTGATGAGTCAAATATTGATCTTTTTGGAAGATGCGCAGCCCGTTACGTCTGGGATAAAAGTGGCACAGCATTTGATAAAAAGAACATTATGCCAACAGTGAAGCATGGTGGTGGCAGTGTGATGTTCTGTGGCTGCTTTGCTACATCAGGACAACTTGCTGTGATTGATGGGACAATGAATTCTGCTGACTACCAGAAAATCCTGAAGGGGAACATCCGACAATAAGTTTGCATCCTGAAAATTGTGCTCTCTTGGATCATGTGGCAGGACAACGATCCGAAACAGACCAGGAAGTCCACCTCTGAATGGCTAAAAAAAAAAAAAAACAACATAACATTCAACCCCCCCCCCCCCACACACACACACACACACACAAAATGGCAGATTTTTGCAGCCTTTCCTCTCTGTTCAACAAATACTAAAGGACAAACAAACAATTATATATATTTTAATTATTTGACAAAGATCCAAATCAACATTTTAAGAACAAAATCATTTGTCAGGCCCTAGTAGCCACATAATTTTGAGGGGGAAAAAGGTGTTGAGGAGTTCTTTTGTGTAAGACAGTTGAATCACCATTAATGTTTATAAGCGTCTTTCCTTTGAAATGAGGGTTGGTAAATGTCAGTCCGCTGCATCCTGCATTCAAACTGCTGAGCAAGATGAATGACTTAGTTTAGGAGCCAATTGTCTTAATTGTTTCCCCCCTCCCCATACACTCACACACATCAATTCACGCAACACTCCAGAGAGCGCCACGATAACGAGATTGCCCATGAGATTCAGGATCAACTGGTTCGACAGGCTGAGCAACAACGACTGCAGCAGGAGGAGAAGGATGCGGTAAGAAGGTGCACCCATGCACACACCCTTATACACTCACACACACTCACGTTATTATGCCTTGACTGCCTCGCCTGTTTATTTAAAAAAAAAAAAAGGAATTCCTCCATATCATCCCTTGAGACTGCTCAAGTTTGAAAAACCATTGAGCTGCCCTAAAAATCTGACCTCAGATGTAATTGCATTTTCCAAGATTTGCAAATTAAAGGGTCCGAGACAGAAAGTAAATAAAAAAGAAAATGACAAAAATTTGATGAAAGAAAAACAAAAAAGAGCACATTACATATGAATAGTGACCTCAGTCTTTCTGGTGTGTAAACCAAATGCGTCTCCAAAATGACTCGAATGCTCAGAAGTGATGGTGTCACAACGTAATTTCCACTGAAGTAAATATACTCCAGAGTGTAGGGGCTCATCCTTTTATCATCTCATATCTGCAGAGTAGTGATGCGGGAGGAGGTAGAAATATTTGGGGGAAATGAGATGAGGCTTTTTGATGTCCTCGTTTCATGGAGACCTCTGGAGATGACGTCACTTCATTGGCGTGCGTAATAACTGAAGCATCTGTAGTGCTGAATTATGACTATCACCACAAATGTACATTTTATGCTTCATGTGTCAAGTGGGATTAAATTGAAGTCGTATATAATGTCAGTGCTGTTACTCAGAACATTGGAGATTCACGGACAATTGTCAATCTCCCTCGCAAGCACTCTTCCCCACTCGTGCAGTATGTGTATTGGGCTTTTGATGACTTGACGTCCGACCTGGCTTTTCAGACAGAGGTCGCATTACAAAAAAAAATGGTATCTGATTTACAACGACATATGAAAGTGACCCAGGTCAGATTTGGAAAAATATGTCATTAAAAAAAATGATGCAGGTCCCGTGGGCAAAAAATAAAAACCCGATTTGAGTCTCGTTTGGCAGCAGTCTGACCATAGCCTAAAATTCAATTATATAAACAACTAAAAACAGTACCATTCATTTGCATTTGCGCTTACCGCACACAAATGTCACAATGTATCTTTATCTTTGTCTTTGTTGCACATGTGTTTGCAGGCTATTGCTCGTAAGCTGCATGAGAAAGAGATGAAAGAGGAAAGACGACGACAGAAACACCAGGATGAAGAGTATTATGAGGATCCAGTAGGTGAGGCGAACACTGCTGCTTTGTTTTCCCAGTATCCGTCAGTGCACTTTATTATTGTCGGTTAATCACTCAGCTCTTTTGAGTTAGAGCCGCACCTGAAATAGAAAGTGGAGGGTTTAATTTGCAGCAACCGACTTGCATGGCAGATGTGAGCCGCCAAGTGGTGAACCTCGTGTTATTCTTGTTGGTCATGGTTACCATCGAGCCTCGCCTAAAACCAAAAAGGCTATTTTTAATCATGTCCAACGTGACTAATCTTCTGTTGAGTGCAACATGAATGAAAGGACAATTTATAACCGTTGGAACGTATCATCTGCAGTTGATGTTTTACCCTTGGGAAGAATAGTAACTGCTTGCTTGGTAAAAAGGGGAGAGGGGAAGAAAGAAGCGAAGCATACACACTTCTTTGGCCCACACTCAGGAACGTTATATCGGCATTTTTTTTTTTTTTTTTTTTTTAATAGTTAGCAATGTCCTGTTTCTCAACCTAACAAAAAATGGTGCTGAGACAGTTTTGACCTCTGCACTTTTAATGTGCTTCACCACTCTGATCTTATTCATGCTCTTCTTATTCAATCACATATCACCATTGTGGGGCATGCAACCTCCAGTATGTAATATATCATACAGCATGGTATTGCGGTCTACTCAGTCATTTCAAAGTTATTAGTTATACTGTATTGCAATATTACTGTCCCTGAATTGTTGTATGATACAGTATTCAAGTCAACATTTTTGGCGTTAGTGATCGGGCTAATCTCTATCCCGTGCGTATAGCAGGGTTTTACCATATTGTCTTACTTTTTGGGGTTACTTTCACCCGAACAACCAAGTATGACAACATAAGTATACCGGTAACTGCTTTTTCATAGCTTTATGGATAAAGATAGTCAGTTACAAAAAATCCACTGCTTACTTGGAGAGACTGTATTTTGATTAAATAATCTTAATAATAGCTGTTTTTATAAGGTACATACTGCATTTGCTTATTGCAGTCTAGCATCATGTCTCTCCCCGATTCATATTTGCTCCTTTTTAAGCCATTCGGTGCAGTTTTTGTGAGCATGTTTCCACTCATCTCTTAATATTTTATGTTACTAACCACAGTCAAGTTGTTTCTGCCTTGGCAGGTGTGGCCTCTAATTTACTAACTACTTAAGGTCATTTGTTGTGTTTTGTTTTTACTTATCACATTTCCACGCTCCCTTGAACCATCATTTGTTTCACTGTCGCCATCTTCCAAACGTATGTCCTTCCTTCATCTGTCCCGCTCAGCTGCGAGACAGCCTCTTGACCTGGACAAGCCCACGCGCCACACGTCTAGCTCCCCAGGGCCCTATGATGTGCATCCTCCAGTGAGCATCCAACGTGATCATTCGCCAGTTTCGAATTCAATAGAACCCGTGAGGAACAGGCACTCAAAACAGGATCCAGCAGTACTGAACAGCCGTTCCAGGTACCCCGAGCATTTACTGGTGGCAGAGGGTGGCCGGGGGAGACATGCAGATCCGTATTCAGATCATCTGCAGTCCCCCAAAGGCAGGCGTGGGGACAGTTACCCCGATTATGAACCTGCAGAATCAAGGAGAGCACGTGACATGGGAGAGGACCCCGATAGAGCAGTGAGAAGGAAAGAGAGGCCAGCCCATTCTCCACTGAGTGCCAAGGAAAGAGACAAGGGCTGGGAGAAAGAGAGGGACAGGAGACATGATAGAGACGTTCTCAGGGACGTCGAGCATGACTATCATTTGAGGAAACATCAAAGGTCGGACAGGGAACAGGACATGAGGACGGCTAGAGGAGGAAGAGAGAGGGAGCGCCTCAGAGATCGCACACACAGTGAGGACAGGCCTGAAGTGAGAGACAAGCAGACGCACAAAGGCAAGGACGGACAACGAGCAAGGGCCAAGAGCAGGGAAAGAGCGCATGACGATGATTTCATTGAACCAAGGGGGGATAGGGTATCCCGGGAGGAGGAAGAGGATGAAGCCGAGAGGGCGAGGAGGGCGAGGGGCCGCCAGCGGGTTCAATCCGGCCCCGACGATGTGTTTGAAGAGTACAGGAACAACCGAGGGAGAGGTGACAGCAGAGAGTTGTGGGAACCTTCTGGCAAGCGTACGCCCTCCAGTGATGAGACAGGTATCACCCCGAGCCCCCGTCTGGGTCCTCTTGGGGTTTGCTTTGATGTGCTGCGGTTGCTTGTTGTTTTGGCAATCTCAGGTGGTGGGGTCTCGAATGAACACACTCATTCTGTTTGTGATTTGATGGCTTGAAATGATTCTACTCGCTGTTTTCTGCTGTGGTCTTCTCTCCCTTTTGCTGTGATCGTTTTAACATTGCTGAGATTTAAGTGTGTGAGGCTAAGTTTGTGGAGCAATATTGCCATAATTCTCGAGTAGGAGTGCAAGACTGTGGTTTGCTAAAAGGACCCCAGGGCTGCTCAGCAACTCGCCTGTTTTGTTTCATCACAAAAATGGTCCAAAGTATTAAATGCTGAGTATGAGCACACAGCCGTGCTGCCCATAAAGGTACCTTCGTAGCTTCATAGTCTGCAATTATCAAGGAAGAAAATTAGTCTTGCCCTCTTCCCCCACTTCCATAATTCTTTTGTATGTGGAAGTGATTGTATTTTGTTTGATCAGCTACTTTTGGTTTAATCAACTACTGACATTTTCCACCACTGCCTGGTATCTAAAACCATCAATCAATTGAGTGCCAGCTATCATTAGTTAAAGCTAGTACTGCCCTGTTTTAATCAGTAATATTGTATGTTCACTGACACAGGTCGAATTGTGCACAAAGGGAGTGGAGAATTTGTAGAAGGGGAGTACGGACTCGACGAGGCCACAAGGGACTTGACCAAGTTGGATCTGCGCGAGCAGGAACTTAAGGACTTGGAGGTGGCAAGGAGAATGCACGAGGAGGAAGTCAAGGTGAATATTTGAATAAGTACAGTGTGTATGTGCAAGTACAGAGCAGCCACATCATTGTGACTATACTTGTGGGTGTAGTTTGTGTCAGTGGAGAACTGCACTGCGTCATACTGAGAGCACTTTCCAATACAAATTGGACATGTTATCTCGAATATCTGTATATTGTGCAAGTGGTCATAATGTTATGACCGATCACTGTATACATAAATAAACGTCGCTTGCACATTGTAAGTGCACCACACCATCAGAGTGGAGAAGGATTCATTCCCATTAAACTGCCAATCAATGCAGAAGGATCCTAAAACTGTCTCCTGTGCGACTTGCGACATTCATGATAAACGACGACATCAGCAGCCAACGATTCAGTGTTTGAGAGGTTTTACTACCATTTCTCCTACCGTATTTATTTAGATCATACTATCACACAGTTTGGAGGTAGAATTTAACCCTCTGTGTGCATGCATGACTTTAGCACTAGTTTAAACAGTTTACCCATTTTGAATATTTAAAACTATATTTTGCTATCTAGGCGTGTGTGTGTGCGCGCGCGCGCACGTGCGCGTATATATACACTCCATGTTTGTTTTTGTTTTTATGTGTTTCAGGCAAGCAAGAGCCATGTGCGAGCAGCCCAAGTTGCACAGGATGAGGTGCGTGGGTGTGAATCTTTTTCTGCTATCGTCTTTTGATGTCCTTTACTATTGCTTCACATGTGTTATCACATAAAATGATGAATCACATCTCCCTGTTCCCTCATATTTTTTTATTATTGTAGTTAATTTTGTGATAGGTTTCTTTGAGTTAAAATAGTATAAAAATTGAGGATGCAACACCTGGAAGCAAGTCTTTTTATGTCGTCAATGTCCAAACCTATAGCCAAATTTGGTCAGTTCATGAAATTTTATTTGTTCACAAATTTCGACAAGACAGTCCCCACATGGGTCTGTTGTTTTTGACAAATTAATGACCAACATAGATTGTTGAGAAAAGCTTATCTCTGAACAAAGAGATTTTGTTTTCCTGAGAAATGGTGGGTTTGGTTCGCGATATGCTATTGATGCTGACTTAACTGTGGCAGGAGATTGCCCGGCTGCTAATGGAACAAGAGAAGAGGGAGTACAGAAAGCATCGAGAACGGGAGAAAGAGCGGGAGAGGGACCGCCATGAAAAGGAACGAGAAAGGGAGAGGGAGCGCGTGGCGATGGAAAAGAGGCGACCAGAGGGGGACTACAGGGTACCTTCCAAGTGATTTGTTGTTGTAATTCTGATCTTGGTTGTCTAACTTCTAGGGGAGACATATCAGAAATTACAGTACGATCAATATAGTCGCAGGAAGGTGTCCCAGCTGACTTGATGCGAGATGTTTCATACATGCTGGATTGGTCGAGATTCGAACCCAGAACCTCAGAACTGTCGGGGGGGAAAAAGTGCCAACAACCAGTGCACCATGATGGCCAGCCTAGAACCATAGAACCAGATATTATTTATCAATGAACACTTTTGTGACAGTTCCAATTGAAATGAAGCATTAGGTTTGCAAAGGCAATTTGTTGAATCGTATTAGATTGTGTAGGTTTGGTCCTGGCTATTGAGTGTATTTGATTTCTTTGCTGGTTTCCAGCCAAATTCCGAGGATGTTGTCCGATCCCGATCCAGAGATGAGCATGACCCCCAGAGGCACAGGAGTCACCACAAACCTTCCCGGTAACGACACACTTTTCAAATCAGTCAGGAAGACTAAATGTCGTCATTTTATATTTGGGTGTTATTTGTCATCTTCTTATTGACATTGACTGTCATTGTTGCCACCCCAGGCCACCTCATCCTCGCACCCACGAGTACGAGAATGTGAACCCTGGTTATGGCTACAGTGACCACGCTGACCCCCAACGGGCGCCCACCAGACCTGAAGCCGCTTACAAAGGTATTTTTCCCCCCTCCCGTTTAACTCTCACAATACAGTGGAATTTCCACATTCAAACAAAACATCGTCATATTAATCTCACAAGACTTCAGATCAATGAAAAATTAAAGGATTCATTCCTGTTATGAGATCATTCCTGTTACTTAATGTAACGGAACAATGACAATCAAGTAGGAAATGAATAAATGAAACCTTAGCTACATAGGTGGTACATTGCTGGCCCGTCTTACGATACGCTGGCAACCATTTTATGATGTACCCCGCCTGTTGCCCAAAGACACCTGGGTGGGCTCCAGCACACCCGTGACCCTCGTGAGGTTAAGCAGCTCAGATAATGGATGGATGGAAGTATGGACTGCCTTTAACCTGTCACTATCAAAAAGTCCCCCCCAATTGTAGTTCTGTATAAGATACAGAAGGTCCTCAATTTATGACAGAATTCCATTCCGATGGCCTTGAAGTAACTCGAAATCGACTGAATAGTAAAGTCCAATGAAAAACACTTAAATATGTGAAACAATCAAATGAAAAACAGTAAGGCCGGTGGAAATTAGGTGTGCGGCCATAAGAAACTTTTCAAAATAGTTGCAAAATAGGAATAAATTGTAGCGCTGGAATTGTGTAACCTTTGAGGGTTGACACTACTCACGTTAATCAAACTGCTCTTGACTCGCACGCATTAAGAGCAAGAAAGCAGCCAGGAGAAATGATGCCAGCTGTAATCAAGGAAAAACGATCTCTGGAAAAACTCCCGTTCCAGTTGTTTGAGCCTTCTGATGGATGTGTCGTCTCCTTCTACAGGTGCCTATTACAAGCGGTGACTCAGGCTCCAGACAGACGGTGTCAGTCCTCCTCTGTCTTTGTCTCATCCCTTATTTATCCTTTTGTCTTCAACCATTCACACCCTGCTGACCAAAAGCCTTTGGACAATCTCATGAGTTGGTAACGGATTTTTTAATTTTTTTTTTTTTTTTTTTAAATCAGCAATTATCTCCCCATACCCATCAGAAGAAAAGAATGTGCTGGAACCTCACTCATCTTTTTGTCACTTTTTTAATTTAATTTTTTTAATATGTCTGTAAATTTAGAATCTCATACTTGACATCAAGCCCTAAAAGCAGCCTCGCCTCATGTAGTCACTCCCAAAGTTCCTGGTGGTCAATACGCGTTCACTGCGATGTCATCACAAGGGATCCAGGCCTTCGACCTGTGCTGCTCATTGGCCTACATTCCTTGACATCTTACTTTGATGTGCCTGCTCAGTCCGACGTGGCCTCAACACTTGGCAGCTTCTTATTCCACCTTAAAATCTGTTGTCGGGGTGCCATGCAACAAAGATGCAAACGACTTTTTTTTTTCTTAATCGAGATGCTGGCAGTTGGCCTTTCAGTCATCCACCAACCTTAAATTTGCCGCACTGCAGAGGCGCAGACTGTAAGGATGTCATTGGCACTGAACCCCCCCCCCCCCCCACACACACACACACACAAAAAAAAAACCCTGACTTTACATTGATAGTGACCAGAGGATGTTCTGAGTGACTCAGTATTCTATTTGCATGCTTACTGAACGTTTTAAAGGTCTTACATGCCTTTCAGCGCCACGTAAAACAAATGGGAGTGGGGAACTTTGGCTGGCAGGCATTCAACAGCCTGCCTTCGGGTCTAAAAATTGATCCAACCTGACAAGAACTGTTACAAAACCCCAAATTTTATGAAATATAACATGCATATGTATATTAAGCATCGTGATGTAGTAGTACGTCTGTCGTGTTGGGTGAATAACAACTAAATTGTTTGTAGGTGTGAAAGTGAGTGCGAATGGTTGGTTGTCTCCATACGTGCCCTGTGATTGACTGGTGACCAGTCCAGGGTGTACCCAACATCATGCCCGAAGTGAGCCCACCAATTTTAGGAGAATGACAAGTATACAACACTATTTGATTTTTGGATCACATTTGCTTTCATAAATCGTGTCTTGCCGCTCAAAGGCTTTATAAGCTGGCCTCTGATAAGAAGTACGTTCCCCGCCCCACCCATTTGTAAACTCTGATCCTGCTCAACAATAACTCATACGTGCCATATTATTATTTTGGGCTGAAAAGAACTGCATGCACTTATTTTGTGCTCTGGTGAGATTGAATACATGGTTATAAAATGTTTTTCGTATGTGTAAATATTTTTTTTGTCATCATGTGCTACCAGTTTGGCGAAGAATGGGAACAAAAACACAATTTCTCATCTGATATTTATGTCCGGTTAAAAAGGGAAATATTTGATTTTAATGTCATTTTGCTGGTCTTTCTTCTGATTAGGGTTCCGTTGTTTTTCCGATGAAATAGAAGCACACTTGGAACGAGGGGAATTAATTCAAACAAAAAAACACATCAGTTCTGAAAGGGACATTTTTCAGTGTTTTTGCTGCTCCATGTTCTGTTCTGTTTTCATATTGAAGAAGTACAGCATGTAGTGACAAAAAAATAAAAATCCTTCATTTCTTTGTTTATGAAATATATCAGCCTCCCCATTGTATCTCTAACTTTGTCATGTATGAGTCGGTGGCGTTCATTCGCAGTATGTGCGCAGTTGCTATTCTCAGAATGGGAAATGTGTGCCATATTTGTCATTTTCCAAGCTCTTGTAAACGAAAGAGTGGGCCGACAAAATGTAGTGGTTGATGAGAGCTCCACCTAGTGGACTTGTTGAATATGAGCGCTGTTGATCTCAGCAAATAGGGAATGGGACTCATGTTCAAAACTGCTCAGGATGTATGTTTCGTGGTCCGTGTTGTGTACCGTTATTGATTAATGTCCAACATTGAACAGTTTAATTTTCTCCTTTGTTGTTTTTCACAGGGCTTATATGCAATCACCTCTTATCAACATGTGCTGGAACATGCTGTAAATGTTTTTTTTTTTTTTAATTTTAATTTACATGGCAATGAAACTTTCTTTTACTTATTGCACCTCAAATTGTAATAAAGCAGCTTTCAGAGTCAATAACTTCTTTTAGTTTTCATGCCAGCGCTTCTCTTAACCACAATGATGACACTTTAAACCTGTATTCCAGGGGTTAGTTTCATTCTAACATTTTCTTTCGATCGAAGGAAATATGCATGGCAAATAGAAATGTAAATGACACATTTGTATTTCGAGCCGAATTCCGTGTCCTTTACATTGTTTGATGTTTCCACGGTGTTGTCTGCGCTGCTCCTAGTCGACGCAAAATGAAAGGGAAACCAGTTGGTGGGAATAACCTGTTTTTAACTCCATGCACACCTTCAGCTGTGTGCATAAGCAAATATTAACTGCAGTTCTACCATGGAAGCGCATTGATGTTTTTGAACTTGAGCTACGGGTTCATCTCACTGCATAAGAACATGTTCGAAAAGCTCATTTATTTCAATAGCTGAGTTCCACAAGTGAAACACATTCATTGAACATATAATGAAACAATCTCCATGAGATGAATTCCTACTTAATATCTTATAATGATATATTAAAACTCAACTCAAACATCCGAATTTCTCGGGACACTGAATGTGGTTTTTATTAGGCTGTCATGATCGATTGTAATGTAATTACAAAATATCACAAAAGTCTATTTCCAATATAAATTTCACTTTTGACTTGAATCACTGAAATAAATTTGATTCTCCACAATATTCTAATTGATGATACACGTCGAAAAGAACATTTAATTGAGCACCAGAGAAATAGTCCCGAATGTACTGATGGATTTATAGAATTTAAAAAATGTAGTCAATGAACTTGTTTATCATGGATATGCTCCACATCACAGAATACTGTAGGTTTACAAAAAAAACGATCAGAAATATAGTTTTACCCTCCCACGCTTTAAATACATTTCAAATTTTGAAAACACTTACTGTCAAGAAATGGAAGACGTGTACAGTACATCATCACTGAAAATAAGAGGCCAAGCATGCTCGCTTCAAGCTGTTTATTTTTCATTCCCAGGTGCAGTTTACTGTATAACCGACACGCAAAAGAAACGAGAATGAAATAAACATTATCTGTATTTAAGAGATACCAAAATGTTCAACCAAACCATATCATTTTGTCGAACACAATCTGCTATCTTACTGCCAACAATGCGCAAGCGCAGTTTATATTGATTGTAAACCTTCACACAACGCAAACAGGACATCTATTCTCTCTGATGTGTGGGAACAATAAATACCGAACAAGATGCGGCAAACTATTACTCTTAAAACTCATTCACTGCCATTGACGGCTATAGAAGTCAAAAGCTCCATCGGTTTACCATGGGCTGGCACTGAATGAGTTTTCATAGGCGCTCTTCTTTAATGCTGTTAATTATGCAACATCTCTTCCAGTGGACCTCAGTGCTAACCCAGCGCTAGTGGTACTACTCTGAAAGCAAGCAACTCTGAATTTAAACTCGGTTGTATACTGAAACCCCTTAAAACAGTTGCTTTAAAATGTGTAATTTAGCTTGTGTTGCCTGTAATATCTTTAATATAAACACAGCGCACATCATGTTAGGTACACGGGCACAATCATGAGATCCACGAAGACCTGCTTTGAAAATGTTGAAAACAACTAACCAAAATAACAATAAGGGTACAATTTTCATTCACAAATGAAAAATCCCAAACTATTCTAAGGCTTGTCCTATCATTCTCTTTAATTGACAGCATTCTCAGTAAATCAAACCTCTGTAGAGGGTATGGGTTACACCCATCATCATCATCATCATCATCATCATCATTAAGTTGAGCTGGTTCACCAGCATACCACACATACTCAGATAGACACACGCACACACACACGGTCTGCATGTGGCAACACCACGACCATAGCTACTCTGCGGCCTTATGTCACCGTCAAACTGCTCGGTTAGATTTTAAAACAAGTTAAATATTTGGTCAAAGTAGTCAATTTCGACACACTTGGCAATAGTTCCATCCGAGCCTGAAAATTTCAGTTTAAAAATCAACCAAAAATCCACAGTTTTCCCGCAGGCTTGGATACACGTTGCACACACGACCAGAAACAATGACTGAAATGTTTCAAGCGACAAATTCCCAGGCAAAGTTTCTAGCGGTGCGGGCAACAGAACAGCTGTGAAACACTACCTGTGTACACAAAACAAAACACAAAACGTTAAGTGTCAAATCACAAAACATCTTACGTTGTCTGCAATTCACCAGCGTTCGAGCTCACCGCTCTCAGCTGCTCCGGTGATGACCGAGAAGAGGACGTCAAGTCGCCGGTGAGTGTTTTTCACTCGTGTGTCTCACCTTGGCAGCTCAGGTGCGAGTGCAGCTGTCTATCAAGCCGAGCACGCCGTGTTGAGACATGACGGGTGACACACCCACTGGAGGTGCACACCCCCCTCTCCTATCTCTCCTTGTCTTTCACTCCATCCAGACATTATGTAAATGTACTTTAAAAAAAAAACAAATTGTTCTTTGTGTTTTTAGGAGTCAAATAACTAAACACCTTTATCTTGATGCATTTTTTTTGTTGTTGTTTGGTTTTTTTTCAGCTAGGAGGCCCAAAAAGGCCCGAGGCTCCTCTCTTCTGGAAGAACCAGTAAGGAGTCAGGGGAACCACAAGAGAATTATCGAAGACAGTTAAACCTTTAATGTCAGTGAACCACTTTCACGTGTGCACCATTTCAAGTTTTTACTCTTTAAACACACACAGGTTAGTTGTCTTCCACTGACAAGCAATCCTTCAGGGTGGGCCGCGCCCTTCCGCAGGCACTAATAACGTTGATTTCATTCACGTATTCACCTCACTCTTTTTGCAGAAGCATTCGAACCAGGAAGCGTTTTCATTTTTATGATACCAAAAAAGAAAAACTGATCTCCATGGGAATCTTCAAAAGTGAGACGGGCCGTTTGGCCAGAGGGCACTTGCTCACTGTGCCTGATGTAGGAATGATATCTGACTGGTTGGAGCAGCAGCCAAGCCAAAATGTACAGGGAGTCAACCTTGGATGCGTGTCAAGGCAATTATGAGTGCTTTGTTTAAGCTTGCACAAAGGACAGCCTCATTTATTTTTTAGGGATAGGCCGTCGGCCCTGTATGGTCCAGGGTCGATGGCACGATAAAAGATTGAATGTGACAATGAGACCATGTTCATGAACGTTATTTGAGGAATACAGCTTGAGAGCCAAGCAATACAAACGGGAAGGTATATGGCAATTTGTAGACACTTGGAATTGTTTTCTACAGTGGAAACTGATCGAACACAGCAACGTTTCTTGCCATTGAAAATTGTGCAAATGGAACATACCCACAGAATTGGTGTCATTTGCATCCCCAGAAAATAAAATGTATTAATGTACTGTAAAATACCTTCTTTTTTTAAATAAAGCAATGTCCTGCACATTGACCTGTTTATGTATTTAATCAATACAATTTATGAAATTAATGTAAATGGCCTTGAACATTGGAAAAGTAGCAGCTGTTGCCATCCATGATGCGAGCCGCTTACCCTCATGAGGGTCGCGGGCGTGCTGGAGCCTATCCCAGCTGTCTTCGGCAGTAGGCGGGGTACACCCTGAAATGGTTGCCAGCCAATCGCAGGGCACGCATAGAAAAAAAACCCATTCACACTCATACTGAAGGACAGTTTTAGAGTCATCAATTAACCTACCGTGCATGTTTTTGGGAGAAAACCGGAGTACCTGGAGAAAACACACGCAGGCAACTGGCCAACTCCACGCAGGAAGGCCGCAGCCGGGGTTTGAATCACTGGAATGTGCTTAGTGTCACCATGCTAATACCTTTTATGTTACATGGCTACATTTCACTAATTTCTAAGACTGCTGTTACTCAAATGAGGAATTTCAGTACCTAATACAATAACATCATAAAATTACGTTGTCAGAGATCTGCCAATACATTTTTGAGTAGTTCAACATGTGTTTGCATTGTAGGAATTTGAGTTGAAATATGACAGAAATTTAACTTCATTTTAACTGAGAGAGGTACAAGCAAATGGCACCATTTCGTTGGAATGGCTGAAAAACAAATATGCTGCATCATAAAACCCTCACTTCACTGAAGTATAAAAACAAGACACTACTGGTATTAAAATGGAAAAAAACAAATATTACTCCTTCGTGATGTGCCGCAAGTATTTTTTATTACTGCGTCTCACGCATCTAACTTTATTTACATTCTGGACCGTCGTACAAGTGCAAAAAGAAGTTAACCAGTGAGCATTTTAAAGTGTAACCATACAAAACACTCTGTTAACCTGAGTTGCAACACCCCTAATTATTTTTATCATTCTCACACTGTCACACAAGTGAAGGTTAACCGATTTACAGATTAGAATGTTCAAATCGACATTTTAACATCCTTAACTGTGATACGTGTAATAAGTGTAGCTAGCTAGCTAGCTAGATAGATAGATATGGTCTGAGTAAGTAATACTTGGAATAATACACAAGAGAGTCTAACAAGTTACGGCCTCGGATGATGAAATGGTGTGCCGTCATTTCCATTTCCAAGAACATATTCTTGGAGCATCATGACTGGCAGCCAAACAGGAATCCCAAGTTTGAAAACATGACTTGGCCATTTGGACTCTCTTCCAACAAAGTAGACACCATAAAGATTTCTCAGAGGATAGTTGAATAGTACTTCAAGAAGAAAAGAAAAATAGTTGTAATATACAACTGTAATACTGTATATAACACTGCAAAATTATCAGTTGATGCCAGCAAATGCCTTTCCAACAAATCTTCATTGCAATGCGAAGAAAAATGCGGTGATTATCTAATCCTAATAATGGCTTCAGTGGATCTAAAAAGGTGACATGTCCCTGGGAACTTGGCATCTGAACAGGGGTGTGTAGACGTTTTATATCAAATTTACATTTCTTGTGACCCAAGGACAGCAAGCAGCAAACACCAAAGCCCATCCTTGATTCCAAAGTCTTCCACTGGTATCTTCATTTCTTTTTTTCATCGTGCTATAACCACCATCAACTTCTTTTTAAGCATACAAATACAATGAAATCAGATCCGTTACAAAAAAATAAGAAATATATCTTCCCAGTTAACAAGAACAATGCTCAATTTTGATCGATGTTTTCGGAGAGGAAGCAGAGAGAACTCGAAACGCACACTAGATGGCGCCTTCCTGGTATGCTCTCTTGCTCAACCTGTTTGCGGGGGAGGTTGCCTCTCTTTGGAGGTGGAGCAGGCTTCGAAAACAAAAAGCAATTTAAAAAACTATTTGATCAAGCTTATTTGGTTCGGTCTATCAATCATCTCTTAGTTATGGTGCCAAAAAAACACAGGGCGCTCATTATCATATCCCCCCCCACAAATGAAAAAAAAAATTGTAATATACCCGCCCCCCCAAAAAAACATTTTTTTTTTTTCGGATGAAACGATGAATTAAATCAAATAAATGAAAACGAAAGTGTTCCATACAATTACATTTTTTAAATTAGATGGGGCGCAAACAACGTTTTTTTTCTGCAAACTGAAAACAAATATTTTTAAACTACCGGTAACTTTAAAATCAGAAAATCAACAAATGAAAAACAGAGATTTAAATTGTCTCCCTGCTTTTGTTTTAGGAAACTGAAAAATTACACAGACTCACTTGCACACTATTTGTACCCCCCCCTTCCACACACACACACACACACACACACACACACACACACACACACGGTTTAGCCTTTGTGGAGATTTGCCCTCTGAGTGACATTCTAGATAAAGATCATATCTGATTTTATCATTATTCTGTGACCCTTTGATTTTGCTTCCATTTTATGTAAACAAGTCACATTTATCTTAGCTCCTTGACCCGCAAAATGTTTAGCTCATTTTGTTCTTTTTAGATATTAACAAGCATTTTAGTATCATATGTGCTATATATTTGATCAGAATTAAAGTTCACATGCTATATACAAAAAAGTTATTGGTGAAAGGGAGATTTTTTTTTTCAATTGCTTTTTTCTCGTTCACCCATACTGTTGCTAATGAGCACATGTTTACAGATAACAAGACTGAACATATTAATCACATACGTGGTAAATTTTCTAGAGTCAGAAATCAACATTTTTACTTATTTTTTTGTCAAATGTGATGAAAATTAGTTATACGTATAACACAGAAACATCTTTTAGTTTGAAGCTTATTGCAGGAAAGGGTGGAAGCTGATGCAATCTGAACAAATTTAGCCTGTTTACAAACTGGCATCCCCTTCACCAATTACGGCCAAATGGTTTGCTTTAATTATCTGTGTGAAATGAATGCAAAGTTCACTGTTGTAAACATGGTTGCTGCAGTACATTTCAGAGGAAAGGAAGGATAATTGACCATTTTCACCCTCATTTATTAAGATGATTTATTAGACTTCCTACTTTATTATTTTTTGTAATGGTCACCGACCTCCTGACCTAACTATACCTACAAAAAAAAAAAATATATATATATATATATTTTTTTCACACACACACACACACACACACACACGGTGCTTGACTGGTTAGCATGTCCGCCTCTCAGCGCAGAGGTGCAGCAGGATTCGATTTCACCTTCTTGTGTGGAGTTTGCATGTGCTCCCCGTGCCTGTGTGGGTTTTCTCCGTGTTATCACGTTTCCTCCCACATTCCAAAAACATGCATGTCAGGTTAACTCAACACTCTACATGGTCCCTTGGTGTGATTGTGAGTAAATATGTTTGTTTGTTTTTGTGTGCTCTACGATTAGCCGGCAACCAGTTCAGGGTGTACCCCGCCTACTGCCCGAAGACAGTTGGGATGGGCTCCAGTACACCTGCGGCCTTTGTGAGGATAAGCAGGTGAGTTAGAGAATGGATGGATGCATATATATGATTGTTGAAATTACATCAGCATGATGGGGTGGATTACATTGTAATGGTAGCACAGAGAAGCTGAAATCTGATTGGACAAAAAATCAAATGTACTGAAAGCAGTGCAAGCCAAAGAAAGTTTTCAAAATGAAGAGAGCAGACTGTTGAAAATAAATGAATCTACCGGTAATTTCATGGAACAAATATAATTTATTTTTAAATGTAGCTCAGTGTTTCCAAAAGTGTTTAGGCCAGCAAAGAAGGTCTTCTTGGCCCGCCATTGACAAATACTCGATTTATAAATGCCGTGTTGGGTAAAATGTGTGTCAAAGTTCACTGCATTGAAATGTGTTGTTTTCATCACTCATCAGATAAAGAAAATGACTTCCCATCAGATGGTACCGGTGGAGACCTCTCGTGCGTCACGGACGGCATAAATAGAGGCAGCAGCACACAGCACGACAATCCTCTAAACAAGCATCCACAGCACATCACACAGAGCCTCCCAATTAACGCTGTTTTTTTTTTTTTTTTTTCCTCCCCCTGTGCATCCTGCTTACTCTCCTCTCTCTGGATGTCATGGCCAGCTCGGCACTGCAGCTGCTCGGTTTCTTCCTGTCACTGATTGGAGTGGTCGCCACAGTGACCGCCACCATCATGGTGGAGTGGAAGATGCACGGCCATTCTCATCGTATCTACGAGGGCCTGTGGATGACCTGCAGCGTAGGCCACAGGACCACCTGTGAATTTCACGACTCTCTCCTCAAACTGTCAAGTAAGTAAGATGACACGAGTCAGGATTTGAACAAAGTATCATTTAGCATTGGGCCACCAAGTGACTCACTCTAGAGCTGACTTAGCGTAACAAAAGGCCACACATGAATGTGAACGGTCAATTCATTCATTTCTGCCCACTCCCAGATCAGGTCCAGATAACCAGGGGAATTCTGCTGTTGAGTTTGTTCCTGTCAGCCGTGGCGTTGATGGTCTCCACTATTGGAATGAAGTGCACCCGCTTTATGGACGGCAGGGCCAGGGCAAAGGGTGTAGTGGCTCGGATTGGAGGCATTATGCTGATGGCTGCAGGTATGATTTTCTGTTCTCATTGTACTGTTTGAAGTTTAACCAGTTTTCTTGAAAAAACATGCCGCAAAAGTCACATTTTGTCAACCTTCACCTCATGCGACAAGCAGCAAATGCCGTGAGACTTCAGCTCAGTGAACACCAGGAAATGTTTTGTTTAGGCTCTTGTTGGATGCCACCACAGAGGCGTGCACACGCAGTGATTTGAGTCAACTTTATTTCATGTTTGTTTATGCCTGCCGTTGATCGGAAATCCCCTTTGCTGCAAAACCACCACTTTTCAGGAAACCAAAAAAAAAAAAAAAAAAAAAGCATGTTTATTGAGCCATTAACACTGCCCTGCCAAAGAGGACAAGCCATTTTCCACTTTAACCCTTTCAGGGACAGCGGTTACGACAGTGGACAGTTTATCATGTTTTCAGGTTACAGGGTGCATGAAAGAGTTATATTGGTCAAGAATTAAAAAAAAAAAAAAAAAAAAAAAAAAACAACCCTGAGGGGACTAACCAATAGTAGTAATTTCCGAAAAAAAACAAAACAAAAAAAAAAACATGAAATTGACCACATTTGGCTATATGAGGGTTTGGCCTGAAACCATCGTTTTACAACCCTTAATCACAAAATAGTCTCAAAGAGCTTCACAGGCTCACAGTTCACAACAATCAACAACATCCCCTAGTTTAGGGTGGTCCCCAACCATTTTCCCACCAGGGCCCGGATAATGGTCACAGAGATTTTTCTCAAAACCGGCAACTATTCGTCAATGGTGCTGACGTATATTCCTGATTGGGAATAATATGCATTTATCACACAATACGATGATGTCCAATGTTAATTTAAACAGCCTGACAGTCCAGGTACTTAAATGAAGGGCCACATATTGACACTTTCAGGGAAATGGTCCTCCTCAGGTCTTTTCCCAGTCGGTTGAGCCAAAAACCTTACGGCAACAGCCTCATTTGGCTCATTGCTACCCACTCTGCTTTCCCAATAAGAGACTGGGGAGGAAGAGAAGCGGCACCAAAACAGGCCAAAATCCAGATGTCAGGTTGTCAGGCAGGACAAGAATCTAGTTCGTGCTAGATGGAATTTAACTAAATGCGAAAGTGTCGAAATAGGTCTTGAGTTGAGATTTAAATATTTAAAGGTAGCTCGGGTATGGCATTCTTCAGTATTGGAGACTATTTTTTTGTTGTTTTTTTTAATGTGAGAGACCCCACATGAATCAGGAAAAATGTTGCCATGTCTTCTTACTGCTGTTATAGTGTCTGGTGTATTCCAGATGACCAGTCAGTGTTCTGTTGCTTGTAGACTGACAAAAAAGAACAGAGCATAGGAGAAGAATACAAAAAAAAAAGCTAGGCTAAGTGTTAGCTTTTCTGGTAACTACATTATGGTTGCAAACTCCTTGTCATTTTTAATGTGGCAAATGACTTGTGAGGCACATTATCCAACCACTGGGGAAAATTTCAGCATTCTCTCTTCTTTGCAATCAACGTCAGCATTGACCTTATTCCCGGATGTCTCTCACTGATTATCCAAAACAATTATCGAGTGGTTTTGGGCGTGTTAAAAGCGATTCTTCTTCCTCGATCTGCTCAGGGAATAGTCAGTGCTGACAATCATAAATGCAACCTGTTCAATATTTATGATCGCAAATCCTTTTGTGTGGTCCACGTTGGGCCTACCAGACACAAATAGAGCAGCAACTGCTTGTGTTTTCACAATCAACAATGTTGAGTAGAGGTGCACACTTTCTTAAAGAGTACATACAAATTGTCACGCTTTGCATGGTGGTGGTGTAGTTGAAGGACCCAAAAAGCAAGGATGTAGGGAGGAGCAGGGTGGATTGACCAAAATGTATTTAACAAAATGTAAACAGGACTACACTGGAGAAACTAACTCAAGAACTCACTCAAACAAAGTCCAGAAAATCACAGGAAACCAAAGTAGCAAACAATTTCATAACTTTGCTGCTGAGAATTGGGAATTTCTCCATTGCGAGACTAATAAAGGATTTCTTATCTTAAAACCTAAGACAAAAAACAAAACGTGACACATGCACAGAGACACACACACACAACAGCAACAGAAACAATGACAGAAAACAAACAATGACCCGACAACGAGTGGTCGTGCCGGGAGTCCTTTTAAACACACTAATGGCACCAAGACCAACAGGTGTGCAGCTGCAGGCGGAGCCCTACAGTGCCACCTGTTGGCCACAATCAGAACCATGAGACAAATGAAGCAACCATCTTTCTCGCAGTACCTTTAGGCCACTGCTAAATATAGTATTTTAGTTTCAAAATAACGTTAACGTCTCGTCATACATCTCTTTATACGTTTATAAAAAAACATGATAAAAACCATAAAGCGTTCCCTGGTGTCTTAACCCTTTTAGGGACAGCGGTTACTACAATAAACAGCGTATTGTGTTATCAGGTTACAGGGTGCGTGAAAGGGTTAAAATATCTCTGACATTCTTCGGTCAAAACGCACAAAGGTATCAGAAAATAATCTCAACATCCACTTGTCACACAAGTTGGCCCCACCGTTTTGTTGCTGGGGCCTGGGGGACGCTGTCTCATGCAGTCAAACTGCTGGTCATCTCATTACCATGACAACGGCAAGCGAAGTCATTGCGAGCAGGGGACTAGCTATGCTATTGTTTCACAAGTAGCCCAGAGTCTAAAGAAAAAGGATAGCCCACATCATGCTGAAGTAAAATCATTTGCATTTTCAGTACTTGATTACACTCGTCACTCAGTGTATGGATCCATACATGTGGCGCATGCAGCGGACACATCATCAAAGACAAATACCCCTCATGTTGACAACTTAGCCAGACTTTTGAGTGGCGTTTATCAGATGCTACGCCGATAAATCTGTTCACTGATGATAATATGCGCAACCTCTGTTGCTCTGCTTACCTTTTGGCATTGATGCATTGATTACCTGTCGTGGCTTGAAAATGGCAGATCATTGCTCAGCCTAGCCTCCAAGTCGTGGGCTGTGAAACTGTACTATGTACTGTAAATTAGCATTAGTAAAGTTATGATGCCACAATTTGGCACGGTTCACTTAAAAACACATTTTCATCAAAACATTCAGTGATAGAAGTTAACCAGCATTGCGGAATTGATTGCATCCAATTTTATGGAGAAAATGAGTATTTAAAGCAATCTGCCACTGATCAAAAGGAAATAAACAATGGATATTGAGGGCAAGATTTTCTCTTTTAAAACTCATAGGAAGAGCCTCCCAATTCTTCCCTCAGTACTGATTGTTGAATTTTGACTGCAAGGGAGGCATGGGTGACATGTTTCCACTCTCTGCCTATTCTTTGTGCAGGTTTAATGACATTCATCATAACGTCCTTGTATGTCAAGAAGGTCGTTGCCGACTTCCATCATTCTCATCATCTCCACACGTAATTCCTCTTTGCACACACACACACACACACACAGACTCCCAGCACAATCTGCTTTGAAATGGGTCTTTAATTAACCGTTCTTCCGCACAGCTTTGAGTTTGGTAAAGCGGTGTTTGTGAGCTGGTCCGGCGGCTTCCTCACGACGTTCGGCGGAGCATTCCTGACCTGTCAGAGGTGCTAGAGATCATCGTCGTCCAGGTCTATAAGCTCTAACGGCCTCCTGCAAAACCACAAGTCCAACAGTAACTATGTTTAGTCACCAGGAAGGATCCGTGATAATAGTCGTCATGACTACTGATAAATTGCCGTTAGTCATTATCATTAGGCCTACATTGTGCTAAAATGACTCATATCTACTTTGCACTGTTTGGTTTGTTTTTGTTTTTATATTTACAGTGGAACCTCCAAAGTTGAACGAGCTACATTTTCATTTCGACGTACATGTTTTAAGATATCCTTCAAATGTCAAGCTGCCATCATGTGGGATTTTAGAGACTACACTTAGTGGGGTTGTGTTTATTTTTTTTTTTAAATGACAAAGGTGGTATCGGTGAGAATGAGAAGGGAAAGGACCATGACAATCATATAAACCAGTCCAGCTGTTGCCAAATGCTGACTAATTTTACTTTTAGTTTTATTATAGTGATGAACTTATCATCACAATTTCAATTGTTAGATAAAACATCACCAATATAGTTAGTTAATAAAGGATTTATGAGTTTATTGACTTTACATTATTTCCTATGGGAACTATTGTTTTGAAATCAAAACACAACCGCCCTCATAGAACAGATTACGTTCAACTTTGAAGGTTCTTCTGAGGACTCTGAATACTTAAATGAACAAACTACTCACTCGTAGATTTTTTTTTTTGTTTTTGTATAATTTGTTTTTATTGTGATATAGTACGATAGACATATTTGTGTACAGTATTTTATAAGTAAAATAAAATTGTGTTTTTATCTTTTGTTTGATATACTTCCAGTGGAGTGCAATTTATTGGACAGGGAGTGGCGGTTTCCGGATAAGATGCCCCTGCATTTCTGGGGAATTGAAGAAGCAATTAGCAGAGACGTAAAACATCCAGTACATGTGACAAAAAACAATCAGATTGGACAGAGAGATTAAAAATTGGGGAAGGGTTGGTAGAAGTTTACTCCTCAGCGGAAGTGCAACAATCTAATCTCTCATGCAAATGACAGATTTTTCCGTGAAGTGACTTTGCTCCCTGTATGGAGCCAAATTGAAACTTTGTTTTAAACCGCCAGCTGTTCCCATGTTGTTATTTATTTATTCTATTAATTTGTTTAAACCATGATGCAAATGATTTTTTATGTTAGATAACAGAATGGTAGAGCAGTAGGAATGTACAAATAGATGCATTGATTTAGAACACATGTATCACATTTGCGTGTTGATTTTATATTTGATGACCTAAGATTTAAGCATATTTCATACGAATGTCTCAATTATACAATCATCCTATGACAGTAGAGTACAGTAGAAGATTTACATTACTTGAAAGTTTCTAACTTAGATGTCAAGGCACTCCCCGAATAGTGTAATGCAGACGCCACCAAGTGGCTGTGAGCAGTATCGTGTGGGAAATGGAAAACGTCAGCACAATTTACAAAGTACTTGGCTTGGACACTTTTTTTTTTTTTTTTTTTTTTTTTTTTTTTTTTTTTTTTTTTTTTTTTTTTTTTTTTTTTTTTTTTTTTTTTTTTTTTTTTTTTTTTTTTTTTTTTTTTTTTTTTTTTTTTTTTTTTTTTTTTTTTTTTTTTTTTTTTTTTTTTTTTTTTTTAAGTACTATGACCTTCCACTAATCATTTGCAGGAGAGAATAATAACTCCTTATACAAGTTGGCATGTGGTGAAGCTATTAAAGTACTTGTCAAATAATTTCATTCAATGAGTTAGAGCTAAGCGTTCTTGGGTCCAAGGGAGTATAATTATAATTATTAGGTAGGTAGGTAGGTAGGTAGGTAAAAGTGTTTAGCATAAATGCCTGTCCCCCAACAGGTTGGTTAGAATAGCTTGAGTTTCCTCAGAATCAATATATTCTATTGTACGCCATACTGCACTACAAAAATACACTCACATATTCTCCATTAAAGTTTCCAAGTACCATATATTTATACTTTGCATTCAAATAAAGTTATTGGAAATAACAACAACAAACCTTGGAGGAGAACTAAGGTCACCAAGGACACAAATGCCTTAAACTCAAATTCATCCATTTTCTCTAAAATGATTTAGAACTGATTAGCAGTTATAAATAATAGATATTAATAAGTATTATTAATAATATTTAAAAGACGAAGAAACGAGACACTTGTGATGAAATGATGGAAAACCATACAAGGAACATTTACAGGCAGACCCATGGTGACATTTGTGTGAATGCTGAATCAAAGAAAGATACCTCCAGTAAATACAAACTGCCACCAGAGGGAGATTGTGTCATTCAAATGGGAGGACGAACAAGTGGGAAAGAAGTCTTGAAGAAAGAGAACAAAGGTCGTTTCACGTAATAAATTATTAAATGGAGAAAAAATGTTGATAACTTGATTTGAACAATACTGACATTTGCTTAGTTAAAGTGGCAGTTTTAGGCGTGTTACTTTGCATAAATACGGCGGAATTTGATGGAGCCCCTCGACGCTCACCGAAGACCCCCAGTGGAGAGAAAGTGGGCTGCGATTGTTGTCCATTCATTTCAAGGAGCAGGAGGAGGAGTCACCGGAACCACACTGGGGACCTGGTCGGCCAGTACAAAAAGTGTGTCTCTGAACAAACTTTAACTCTTATCGTCCTCCGCCCCCAGCATGCAGCGTGACACTTCCGGAGGTTTTAAATGGACAGCCAATCGAGGTTGACAGCGTTCTGTTGACTGACAGTCACGACTTCACACAGCACCAGAATGGACGCCAACTTCTTTGTCGTCTTCATCGCCTCCGCGCTCGCCTCCGTTACGCCGTCTTCGTCCACCTTGCAGCCTTACGACCTGTTATACGAGGACGCGGTGCGGGCGTTCTACAGCGGCGACTACGGCGGCGTGGTGCGCATCATGGAAGAGGCGCTCAGCAGCTACTCCGTCGTGCGGCGTTCCAAAATCCGCTGCCGGCTGAGGTGTCAGGACCAGCATCCGTTCGCGGACGCCGACTCCGACCTGGGCTTCTTCGGTGTGGTGCTGCGCAGAGCGTCGTGCATGGACAAGTGCATCGAGCAAGACATCGGCGTGCAATCCATGCATAAAGTCAGTGAGGATGTCGTGCAGGACTTCAACAGGCGGATCCCTTACAACTATCTCCAGCTGGCTTATCTCAAGGTAGGCACTGATGTTGGTGGGGGGTTTAAAGCAGTCTTGAATGGACACCATTGTTGACCACTCAGCGGGGTTACTTTGCGTCCCTGCCGTTTGCTCTAAAACCTCATCATCACTTGCTGCCTGGCGATGTGATGCAAAGATGCAGGCAGGTGATTGGAGGACAATTTACTGCTTTCTCTGCTGGCCCTAAACACAAATCAGAATCAATGACCGATACATTTACAACCTATATTTCAACATAGGTCACTTCAAGTGTGATGCTGTTAAGTGATGGAATAAGTCCGGTTAGTCACTATTGAAGGCCAGGGTACCAATTTTTTTGCCAACTTTTTCTTTTCTGATCTATAAATGCGATCAGTCCGGGCTATATCTGACCTCTTGCCTAAAGTCAGCTGAGACCCCATCTCACCGGCGACCTAATGAAGACAAACGCTATCATCGATGGATGAATGAATACTTCCCTTGGAAGTTGTCAATGAAATGCTCAGTGAAGAGCATTTTTTTTTTTTTATACCGCTCATGTACTAGATCTCATTATCTTAAGCTACATCCTGTGTATACCGCCCGTAAGAAAATTAGATCTGGCACACGTATTTGTAAAAACATATACAATTGCAAAGGAACTGATATAAAAAGCCCCAAAGAGTTAATGCGCTCATTTTTTATAAATACATAATCATATTTTTTAACATTAATTTATGAGGACTCTTGGGGGTTTTAGATCAACTGAAATAGCCTCAATAGGAAAAAAAGGCTCTACACCCCTGAGTAGATTGTCCCTAATGAAGTGTCGGATGAGTATACGCAGAGGCGTCTTGCATTGTCATTTTCTTCATTAAATCCAGACACATCTCAAAGGTATCATTGTTGAATACATTTTATTGATTGATGGCTACTCTGTCATTCAGTACTGACAAGTCGCTTTTAAACGGGGCAGCTGAACATAAAATGTAAAAAAAATACACCATCACTGTAGCAAAGGAGTGCCCTGCGATTGGCTGGCAACCGGTTCAGGGTGTCCCCCGCCTACTGCCCGAAGACGGCTGGGATAGGCTCCAGCAACCCCCGCGACCCTTGTGAGGATAAAGCGGATCGGAAAATGAATGAATGAATGAATGAATGTAGCAAACGAGACTTTTAAAAACGTTTTTTAGCACAAGACCCAAAACAAGCTCCTACTGGGCAGGACCATAATGGACCACTATGTAAAATGCCATCATTTATGACAATAATCATAAATCAAAAATTCCTGAGCCAAGAGGTGATGTGTCAGCTAGGAAGAGAATAGCACACGGTGTTCCAGTGTCAACTGACTTATAGTTGTAGGTAGTTGCAATATGCTACAAAAATTTTCTTCACTTCTCCATCACTCTGTTTCTTGTTTCAACATTTTTTTTGTCTCGTCTGTTCCTTTCTTTCCCTCTGTGTATCTCATCCCAAGCAGACATGGAAGTGCCAAAAGTGTTTCTGTCCAGGTGTTTTTGTATGCAAATGCTTCACTCCGAGTCATGTCCTCACTTCACATTACACGTTGAGGTTATTTTCTCGGCATTTTTCACATTTCCTGAGCTCTATTTTCCCCATGAGATCCATCTATTTGGTTGGGATGTTGTTGATCACTCCGCGTGGGAACAATCCAATGCACGGATAAAACAAGATGAGAAAGCCACAAAGTGTAATTTGAAATGCAGCCTCCACGAGACTGGAAATTGTGTCTGGATCACTAAGGGCAGCTGTCTTTTACATCATTGTGTCGTAATCCTGAAGTAGCTGTACAAGCAATCTGAATGAAAGAAACTTTACAGACATTAATGTGGTTTCCGCATTAAGCGATCCCTGAAATATAACTCGCTCCAAATTATTTGAAAAGGGAGCAGGTGCAAAGTCAAGAATGACCATTTCCAGATACAGTTATATTGCCTGAAAAATCACCCCTTTTTTTGATGTCTGAAAAGAGCGTGTAGTGATTTTCAAGATAAGTGATAAATGTGATTGGCTTATAGTAGTCATGATAAGCAATTTAATGATTGTTAAATTTTGTCAATTAATTGCCAGGAACTCATCACTTATTTATTGTGCTGTGCAGTAATTGATTGATGCAAAACAGACAGCACTATTTGGCCCATCCCATGAAAGGAAACATTATCAATATCGGTGCGGACTACTCGGAATCCAAAAAAATGCTTTACCAGCCTGAAATAACTTCTGGCCAGGTTTGTGTTTTGTATTTTTGAGGCCCAATGAGATTCATCCAACTATAACAATATTTGATCAAGTAAAACACATTTTTAATCACTATTGCATTGGGATTATCAAGTATCGGTACTTGGTATCGGGATTACTTTGATATAAGTACTGTACTTGTGCCCGGTTTAAGAAAGTGGTGTGTTGGT